GGATAACATTCATTTATTCCACAGCATCTGGAATGTGCCAAATACTGTTCCTAAGGCTAATACTGTCCACCAAAATTGGCTCAGCATCCATACCTTGCTTGCCTTGTTCACTGTTGAATTCTCAGCACCTATATTATCCTGCCCATAGTAGGCACTCATTAAATAGTTGTTGAATAAAGGAATGTTAGCAGCATTATATTTTCTCCAATGCTATCTCAACTCCATAGGGTGGAATAAAGTCTGCTTAGATTATTTTTATTCCTCACTGATAATTATAGGGTTGAGAATTATTCTTAAAAAATTTGAATTCATATGTAACACTCCCTTGGTCCAAATATTAAATCTTTCAATCCCCCCCAATATCTTGAGTTTATTTCCCTGTAAAATGGAAATGACAATATATCAACCTTACAGGAGTACTTTTGGTTTAAGTGAGATACATATATTATTGCTTAGCAGGCACCTAGCGTGTGGCAGTTGCTCAATACGTTCTAGTTCCTTTTCCTCTCCAATTTTTCAGCCTCATGTTCAGCCCAACATGGTAGCACATCAAATTCTTTATTAGCTCCATACAGATCCTGAACTTTTATGCCTTTGTGCCTCTGCTTTTGTTTTCCCTCTGCCTGGAATGCCTTCCTTTGTCTACCTGCTCATCTTTCAAAACATAGCTCAAATGTTCGCACCTATGAAACCTTTCCAACACTCCCCCCAACGTTGCTCTCTACTTCCATAGCACCTTGTATATGTCTCAGCGATAGAGCTTGAAATTCTATTTCTTTTTTTTTTGCTATAATTATTTAGTAATACTTTTGCCTCTCTGTTAGATTCTGCTTTTAAGGGGTCCAGTGACCAAGTCTTATCTGTATTTTTAGAGTGTTTGGAAAGAATACGGAGGAGGTTGGAAAGACGACAGGTAGAAGAAGGATTAGCTTTGCAGAAAGAACTACTTCCTCCTTAGAAACAAAAGGGAAGGAACTGAAGATGAGTAATAATGTAGCAAGAATTTATTTATTTTTGAGAGAGAAAGAATGAATCATTGATTTGTTGTTCCTCTTACTTATGTATTCATTGGTTGTTTTTTTTTGTATGTGCCCTGACCGGGGATTGAACCCTCAACCTTGGCATATCAGGATGATGCTCTAGCCAACTGGGCTACCTGGCCAGGGCTATATCAAGAATTTTTAGAGCAAAGGGAAGGGGCCAAATTTCAAGGGGAAATATGGCTTGAGGAAGAAGGGACAGGAAGAAGTTTCCACCAGAAGACATGAGGAGGGTAAAGGAGAGGTGATACTGGTGTGGCCTGAGAGATTAAGCCTTCTCCCCCCTAGTTCTGTGAGGTCTCAGGATGGACTCAGGGTCTGGGTTGGCAAAAAGGGGTTCTTGGGTCTGCAGGGAGAATAGACTGTCTTCACCTGGGGAGTTTTTCAATCCAGCAGGGAGAAGCAGAGAAGAGGAAAGGGAAGAGGGGAGGTTTGCAGTGATGTGAGTGAGGAGTGCCGAAGGGATGGGTAGTGGTGGTATGGCCCATGGAGAGCCACCTAGGTAGTCACACTACAAGAGGGATGGCAGGGAATTTTGGCAGCAATGCAATTCTTAGAAAGTTCAGCAGGAGAGGCAGAGCAAAAGCATCTGGAGAGGAAGCGCTGGCAGGCATGGCTGCACTGCTATCTGCTCCAGTTGGCATCCTGGACGATGCATTAAAGTGAGTCTGGCTGGCAGTCCCTCGTCCCTTGGTGGTCTGTGGTACAGGTGATGGCTTAGAAAAAAGAACACATGACACTCGGGCTTGTTCTATTCTAGGCCGTCAGACTAAGCATCTCAGACTGTTTTATAACTTACAAAACAACTATTATCAGATGACACTTCAAAAACAACAAACCAATGCCTCAGTCAGAGTACTTTGATGCAAACAACAGAATTTGTGAGTAACTTAAGAAAAGGGGAAATTTACTGAAAGAACACAAATTGTTGACAGGAAGGCTGGAGAGTTGGATATGGAAAATGGGTGGTGATCTAGAAAGGCCAGGCAGCAGGCACCGCAACCAAGTTCATTCCTCAGGAACAATCTGACGTGGTCACCATCCATGGTATGGACGTCAACCTCCAACCTCTGAAGGACCCACTGCATTTGGACACCTACTGTCTCCATTGCTCTAAATAATTCTGAGTATGTCAATATGTCTTTGTATCATTCTCTGAAGATTCAGAGTTCAGAAAGGAGTGGCCAGGTGGCTAAGCCTAGATCATATATCATGTTCTGGCTGCTGGGGACAGGGAGAAGAATATCTCCTTGCTTCAGCTACCCTAGACCCAGCAATTCTGTATAGAATGGGGCATTCCGCCAAATAGAGAGAAGGTTTGGGTGCTGATGGTAAACAAAAAAAATGTCTACCATGTCCTCATCTTTTAGACTGTTTTTTCTTTCTAGTTTCTCTGTTTTTGTCAGTTGTCTATTATGATCATAACCTTAGGCTCCTAGGCTTGACACTTTAGAATCATCCTCATTTCCCTCATTTTCTCACATAGTGAATAACTCTCCAGATTTCTTAGATTTGCTTTGCCTTCTGTCACTGCTCCTGCTTTAGTAAGATTGCTTTGGCAACAGCAAAGGAGAGAAGGGACTGGAAATTGGGAGTAAGACTTCTAGAATATTAAAATTAGAAGAGACCTTTGAATTAATCTATCGTAGTAGTCTTATCTAGAATTGTTCATCAGCATTCCCATGACATTAAAAAAATAACACACGCTGGCATCTCACCCTCAGTTTTTGGGTTCAGTAGATCTGAGGTGGGGCTTTGGCATATGTGAATATAGTGTGTGTGTAGGTGGGGGTTGGTGGGTGTGTGTCGTTGTGAGGTGCATCCCAAGTTGACAACTGCTGAGTTCCAATACCCTTACTTTAAAGATGAGGAGACGAAGGCCCGGAGAAAAGTTACCTGTTTGAAAGCACACACAGTGAGTTCATGAAAGGGGGAACGGGGCCACGTCCAGTCCCAGATCTCCTGGTTTTTGGTACAGTGCTATTTAGACCTCTTGCTTTTCCCCTCCGCAAAAGAACACTTCCTGTCTTTATTTGTATCCAAGAAAACATGTTACATTTCTTCATTACAACATGTTACGCTGAAAAGTGTTTCAGCTCCCCCCATAGTAAACAGGTTTCAGATTAAGAGGCCCAAACTGTCAAGAGTGAACAGTCCACCCCAAGGGCCCTGTTTCTAATGGTAGTTGGCTTGATCTCTGGACCATGGGCCTCCTTTGTCAGAATCTGGGCAAACCGTCCTCAAGAACCACAACTGGGGAGTGAAATGAGGAGGACCTCTGGACAAAGGACAGTCAAACTGAGGCCATACTTCTGTGTTTGGCAGGATTGTGACTGTCTGGGCCTCTGTAAACACAAGCGCTTGTTTCAATTACTCATTGACCTTTTTTCAATTCTTGACTGTTCTGTAGCCATCTGGTTCTCATCTTGAGAATCCACTTCTTTCTTTTTTCTGCTCTCTGCCTTGGATTGGTTTACCGCCACCTCAGGCACTGTTTCCGGACAATCTCATGGAAACCCAGGGCCTCTGATGCCTTTCATTGCATTATGTTGCTTTTTGTGTGTGTGTGTGTGTGTGCGCGCGCGCGCGTGTGTGTGTGTTTACTTTGCTCTTCTTACAAAACTTGTGTTTTCTTATAAAGATTCCCAAAAGGAAATGTTTTCTTAATGCCTTCCTGCTCCAAATCTACCTTAGCGCAAAGAAGAAGAAGAAAAGGTGGGAGAATTGCTATAGCAGAACTGGGGCAGAGGAGAGCCATTCTTACTCTCATATTCTCTCCATCCAGAAAGGGGGCTCGTATCAAATTCCAAATTCCGAGACCTTACCCAGTGACCCCCCCAGGCAGGGATGACATGGTCAGAGCTATCCTTTAGAAAGCACCTCTAAGAGCTGTGGAAGGTGGATTGGAGGAAGTGAGGCTGTGGGCAAGGAGACAATCTTTTGAAGCTACCGCACTAATCTGGGTGAGAGATGATGAGACCTGACTTGAGCAGTGGAAGGGGGATAAAGAGGAGAGGATAGGTGGGAAAATAGTCATTGTGGTGGGAGAATGGACAGAACTAAGCAGCTGACAGATGTGGGAGATGACGGAGAAGTACAGATGACTAGGCTTGGAGCTTGAGGAATTGGGAGGATAGTACCTTTAACAGAATGAGGAAAATAAGAAGAGCTGTTTTGAAAGGAGGGTAGAAAACAGTGACCAGTTTTGCACATCAGAGATGCAGAAATCCAAGATGATGTCTCCATCAGGCAGTGGAATGTGCAGGGCTGGACTCAGGAGGTGTTGACGGCAGATAACAATTAGGGAGTTTCAGCTGGAAAAAGTGTGAGCAGGAGGTGGGGGAAACAGGCAGAGTGAGAAGAGGCCTGGGGCCTGACCTTAGAGGAACACCCACATGGGAGCCCCAACCAAGGGGGAAGGAGTCTGAGAAAAAGCTGAAGAAATTGGGGGGGAAAACCACCCAAGAAAGTAAGGTTTTGCAGCCAAAAGGCGGGAGTTTCAGGAAGGGACACAGAGAAGGATATGGAGATGAGGACTGACAAGCTGTTATTTTTGGCGGTTTCTGGTGACAGTAGGCCTACTCTCAGTCACAAAAGCTACCCTCACGTGAAATGATGCACGGAGAAGGGGTCCTGGGTAATTTACAATTTAGCTTCAGTTATTGGGTCTTGCAGGATAAATACGTGTAATTACTTCATAACTTTAATACTGCTCAGAAGTTCCAATGAGCCCCTCAGTTCTCAACTTCATTTGGTTGAATAAAAGGAAATTGTAATGACTGCCAAAGGAGTGTGAAGACCGTATATATAAAGTATAACGAACAAATATTAATGAAGTTTCACCTACTACCAAGCCGGGAAAAACCTTCTTTGGCCCCGCCCCCTCATGAATATGTAGCTAGCGCTGCCTGCCGCTCACTGCCCCACCTTCTACTCTTCTCCTCGCAACGGACTCTCCCCTCAAACGGGAAACAAGATGGCGGCGGCAGGTCCGAGTACTCGGGCCTCTTCCGCGGCGGCAGCGGCAGCTCTGAGTCGGCGGAGCCGGCGGGGCCGCTGTGACGAGATGGCGGCAGCCAAGACTGGGGCCCAGGGCCCGGCCTCCGGGCACGCATTGCTCGTGTTGCCGCAGCCGTTGCTGCAGCCACCGCCGCGGCCGGAGGAGCCGGGCTGCGCCGGGTGCCTGGAGACCCCGGGGGAAGCGGCGGCCCTGCCTTGCGGCCACTCGCTCTGCCGAGGCTGCGCCCAACGCGCCGCCGACGCAGCGGGCCCAGGTTGCCGACGCTGCCGCGCCCGCGGCCCGAGTTGGGCCCGCCGTCGGGCCCGCGACGACGGCCAGGCCAACGCAGAGGTGTTGGGCGAGCGCGCCCGCCGCGGCCAGCCGGAGCGCTGCCGCCCGCGCCGGGATGGGGGCGCGGCCGCCGAGGGGCCCAGGCTGGAGCAGGAGCCGCGCGCCGCGCCGGCGGAGCCAGGTGGAGCTTCCCCTCCTCCCCTTGGGGTCCCGAGCGAGGCCGCGCGCGCCGAGCCCGGCCTGGTTAACGAATGGAGGGTCCCAGGCCCTACTGGAGTGGGTGTGGAGAGTTCTTGTGGGGTTGGAACCGGGCTTTGCCCAAGTGCATTATCTGTTTCTCAATTGTGAACTTTGGAATGAAGTACGGGCCCGATGGATTTGGAGGGGGCACTGAGAGGGTCCTGCGCCTTTTGTAAGTCAGAAGTTTGGAGGGAACCATAGAATTCTTGTAACAAGTTAGGGCCAGGTTGGGACTGCTGCGTGGAAGGAGGGGAATGAACTTCACAGGGACCCTGGAAGATCAGAGAAGTGTTTGGTTTAGTGTTGGGTGAAGAGCTTGAGGCAGGTTGCTTATGGGCCTGAATGGATCAGAGAGAGAGAGGTGGACTATAAGGAGTTTAGGGAACAGGTTGAATATGAGGATGTGACAGGAGCTTTTTAGACTTGAGAGAGTAGGTTGAGGAATGAGCTCACAAGTGCAGCTTTCACAAAATTTTTAAAAAAATGCATGTTTGGCCCAGCCTGGCACATAGTGAGAAAACAATAAATGACTACTGTTTATATTTATAATACTACTAATAAGCTCAAAGGAAAAAAAAAGGTTGCATGGGGTTTAAAAGTTGACGAAACAGATTGACTTGCGGGGGCTGCTTTTATCCATGGCAGTGTAGGTTTCCTGCTGTCATCCTGGCAATGAAAAGTTTCAGGACTGTTGCCTTCAACTTTGTTTGCCTTTCTTACCTCTCCCAGCCTCCCACTCTTTGGAATTGAGCTTGACACAGAAAGTGCCCGCTTTAAAACACAAAACTGTTGTAGCTTATTTTAGGACTCTGAGACACACCCAATCAACACATCTCCAGCTTTGATAACAAATGCTTACTTCGGAGGTTTTCAAGAGACATAAGCAGGAAAGGCCAGATATTTGCACCATTTGTGTTGGGAATTCTGCCTTGTATTAATTTCAGTAGGGTAAAGGAGGCATTGGCTTATGTATGAAAGTGCAGTCGCTAGAAACTACAGGTTCCAGAATGCAGCTTGTTTTGATTCAAGCAGCCAGACACCTGCCATTGTACTAGGGTATCTTTTATTTCTGTGCCTTACCTTTCTGTGTTTCCTCTTTTAAGCTTCACAACGTCTTTAAGAAATAGGTAGTTTTATTTCCACTTAACAGATGAAACTGAGGTCCAGAGAGGTTAAGTAGCTAAGGACGAAAATCCAGTTCCACCTGATTTCTGCTTAAATCAGGGATGAAGGGTTCCTCAACTATCATCTAATTTGTGGATGCTATGTGATGATCTCATGCTATTTAATTTGCTTTATTTTCTGAGATTATGTTAAAAAAATAAGACAGTATTTTTCTAGTCTCCTTATTAGTACTCTTAATTATATGGTCAAATAGGATAGGAATTTCTATTGGGTTGGCCAAAAAGTTAGTTTTCTCCACAGGATGGCTCTAGTAGTGCTTAGTTGTCTTTGGCTTCATTCAAAACAATTTTGTTAGATTGTATTGTGACAGCTGTCATATCAGTGTGCATTTAAGCTTATCAAAATTGGTGAATTTCTGTGCAGCCGTTTTAATATTGAAGATGGAAAAAGATATGCAACATTTTCAGAGTATTATGCTTTGTTATTTCAAGAAAGGTAAAAACGCAACAGAAACAAAAAAAGATTTGTGTTGTATATGGAGAAGGTGCTGTGACTGATTGAATGAATCAAAAATGATTTGCGAAGTTTTTTTATAGTATTGACATTTTGGCCAAATAATTGTTTGCTGTGGGGCTGTCCTATGCATTGGAAAATGTTTAGCAGCACCCCTGGCCTCTATCCACTAGAAGTCAATAGCAGGAGATATCCTATATAGTCAAAATATCCAAATCAATAAAGTTATTGGTGAAAGTGAAAATGTGTCTTATTTTACAGAAAAAAAATATGGACTTTTTGGCCAACCCAATATTTTTATTTCCAAACTCTGGACTCCCTTGTGAAATATCTGCTCTGAAATTTGAATCATGAGAGGGAGTATGGCTTGTTGAATTGTGAAAACCCTTTCCCTTGAAGAAATTTATCATAAAGTATATCAGTGATTAAGGAAAATTATTTAAAACGAGGTTCCAAATTAGTATCTATTGAGTCATGGAGTATCCACTGAGTGTCCAATTACTTTAAATGTTTATATGAGTGCCATTATGAAAAATATTTTTTCTTAAATATTCTTGATGGATCATTAAGTGTATATAATTACATGCTTATGAAGTTAATACATTATAGAAGAATATTGCTGACATGGTTTGGGAATTATCTTCTTCTACCTTCAGTGAGTGGGTTGTCTGGACCTCTTTATTTTTATGTTTTAAAAGTTTTTATTTATTTTTAGAGAGAGGGGAAGGGAGGGAGAAAGAGAGGGAGTGAAACACTGATCCACTGCCCCTTGCACAGACTCCAGGCAGGGTATGATCCTGCAACCAGGCACGTGCCCTGACTGAATCAAACTGGTGATCCTTTCCTTTGCAGCTAACGCCCAACCAACTGAGCCACCCTAGCCAGGGCTGGACTTCTTTAGGTTTATATATATATAATTTTATATATTATATATGTGGTGTATACACGTACGCGTGTGTGTGTATGTGTGTATGTGTATAAAATCCTCACCCAAGGATATGCTTATTGATTATAAAGGGTAGAGGGAGAGGGAGAGAATTGTCTATGTGAGAGAGAAACTTCAGTCGGTTGCCTCCTGTATACACCCCGACCGGTATCAAACCCGCAACCTTTTGGTGTACAGGAAAATGTTCCAATCAACTGAGCCACCCTGCCAGGGCTACGATATTTTTTAATTTAAAATTTAATTTAAAATGCCAGTTTCATAAATATTAGTAGGCAGTGTACTCACATAATTCAAATCAAACAATATAAAAATACACAATAAAAAGTTTCCTCTACCTCTTTCTTTGTTTCCCATTCCCACCAAGGATTGTTTACTCTTCCATAGTATTTTTATGCTTATACATGAAAATTCAAATATATTTAATTTTTTAATTTTTTTTTACACAGAAGGTTGTATATTATGCACAATGTTCTGTAACTTTTTTCATGTAACAATGATGGCAGTCTTCATCATTTCTATGCTGGAAATCTCTTTATGTCAGTACATAGCTTTCTTCGTTCTCCTCACAGTTGCAAACAATTTCATTAAATGGATATAATATAGTTTACTTAACCATCTGTTGGTAGGCATTAAGGTTGTTTCCAGTCTTTTACCATTATAACTAATTGTTTATAAAATTTTTATATGAGTGCGAATGTGCCTTTTTATGGAGAGGTCACCTGTAGCTTTCACCAGATTCTCAAACAGTTGCAAAGAAAAGATTAAAAGAACCATTGCTTTGCTGGCTGGTGTGGCTCAGGGGGTTGAGCGCCAGCCTGCAAACTGAAGGGTCTTTGGTTCAATTCCCACTCAGGGCACATGCCTGGGTTGAGGCGCTGGGTCCCCAGTTGGAGGTCTACAAGAGGCAGCCAATCGATGTTTCTCTCCCTATTTTTCTCTCTCCCTCCCCCCTCTCTCTAAAGGTAAATAGATATAATCTTTTTTAAAATACAAAGAACCACTGCTTTAACTCAGGTCCCTCATTCTACAGAAGAAAGAAACGAGGCCCAGAACAGAGAGTGACCAGCTAAAGGCCATCATCAGTTAGTAGCAGATAAACAAGGGCAGAATGGGTAACCCATTAATAAAGGCTAAAACTTAGCCTAATTCACAATTAAGTGCTCATGATGGTTTTTAGTAAAGAAAACTAAAAATGCCAGTTTCATAAATATTTACATTGTAGTTTTAGAAGTGGGAAACAAACAGATTTAGCAATTTTAGGTATATTCAGAAGTACTGCATTTCGTATTCTTTTAGCATAGTTAGGTCAACTGATAGAAGAAAGGTCAGGCCTGTTTTATAATACTGTAAATGAAATTTTGTAGTAAATACACTGGTGTTGAAGTGAAATTCTTACAATTTTAAATATTTTGTTGAAGCCCCATGGCTCTTTTGGAGTTGCATTGTCTATAATTAAAAAGAAAAAAAAAAGTGGAAGAGTTGTGCTTGTGACATTTTTGGTTTTGTCAGCTTATTGGCAAAGTTTAAAGTTCAGAATCTTAATGATTCCTGTGTAAAACATTTTATTTTATTCTTATATGCATTATCAATTTGCTTTTGGGTATAGTATCAGTTGACTTGTGCAACACTGTGTGTGAAATCTAAGTCAGTAATCATTTTAAGATGAACTCAGATTTCAACTTCATGTTCTTTTTGCATCTGCAGCTATTGTATGTATTGACATACAAAGGATTTGAACCGTCTTGAGCAATATTCAGCAAATATGTAACGAATGCCTACTCTTTGCCAGGCACTGTTCTAGGTCTTTGGAAGACAGCAAGTATTGAAATACTCAAAGAATCACTCCCTTTTGGAGCTTATATTGTAAATTTAGAGACAGTCCTAGTCAATTGGTTTTTTAAAATTTACCACATAGGTAGGTTTGCAACTGTGTACAAAAGTAACACTTAGCCCTATTGTTAATAATTAGTGACTGTTAAGAATTCATTTAACCTTATGATTTGAAATCAAGTATGATCATTCTAAATTATGCTGCCTTTGAATTTGAAACCAAGTCCTTTTTAGGACAGTTCTTTTTCTTGTATGGGTAATAATTAAAGAAAAAAGCTCAACAGAGGATGACGAATTTTTTTAATTGGCAGTTTAAAATTTTTATCTATTTGTAGTGTTGAAAGTGAATTTCAAAAATTGAATAGATCAGCCCATGTAGCCCAGTGGGTTGGGTGTTGTCCTGCAAAGTAAAAGGTCGCCGCTTTGATTCCTGGTTGAGGCACATGCCTGGGTTATGGGCCAGGTGTCTAGTTGGGGGTCTGTGAGAGGCAATCTATAGAGATTTTTCTCCCTCTCTTTCTCCCTTC